ACACACACACACACACACACACACACACACACACACACACACACACATTTTGAGTCTCTCCCTAATGTGCCTCAGAGAGAGATAGATGGTGGGGCTGGAGGATGAAGGAAGAAATAAGCATTATATAGCACCTATTATGGGCCAGGAACAGTGCTAAACACTTTACAAATATCTCATTTGACCCTCACAATAACCCAGAAAGGGAGTACAGTTAGGGAAACTAAGGCAAAGAGAAGTTAAGTGACTTGCTCAGAGTCACACAGCTAATAAGTGTCTGAGGCTGAATTTGAACTCAGGACTTAGTGACTCCAGGCCTAGGCTCTATCCACTGTGCCACCTAGCTAACCGGCTACAGCATTAAGGATTTACTTTGTACTAGGCACTCTGCTAAGCTCTCAAAATAAAAATACAAGCAAAGAGGGCCCAACCTGGAAGGCTTATATTCTAATGGAGAAAGACTATATAAAAGGAAGCTGAAAAGGGAGAGGTAAGAGGAGGGAAAAGTACCCAGGTTGGGGCAAAAGTGGCTGGTGAGGTGGCTATTGAGGAAGCAGAGAAATCCAGAGTTGCTGGGATTGAAGTGAACTGGGCTGGGGTCCCTAATGAAATGGTGGTTCTAGCTAGGGATTCAGCAATCAGGAAAGTAGTCCTCAGAGCAGAGCTATCTCTAGTGTGAGACAACTACTGATGAGGTGGAGAATTCAGAAAGTGAATGGAGCCAGAAATAAAAAGAGCATGGGGGCCTCTTATGAAATACAATCTGAGCTAGGGACTCACCAATCCTCTAAAGTCCATTAGAGCATCAAGAACCCTGAATCCAGACAGATGCCCTGATTTATCTTCATACACAATTCCTCTCAAAAGAGCTCTTTCTCTCACACCCCTTATCTCAGAAAATTTTCCCCATATTATATTCTCTTAGTCTCCAGGTCCCTTCAGAGACCCTCACCTTCTTGAGGTCCTCACCAAATGCATTCCTATTCTGTTTTTTTTATAGCTGCCCTTCTGCCCCCTCAAACACACATAGCCCACTCCCCTCAGAGATATTCTCCCATACATGTCCCTTCTGTCCCCTCACCCCACATGCCCTATCCCTATTCATAATTCCTCCCTGTCCCCTAACCATAAAGTAACCGAATAAAATCCTTTTCCATTTTAGTTAGTAAACTTCAATCTGATTATTGTTTTCAAATCTAAACCACATCCTTAAAATATTCTCAGCTCATGGCAGGGACTTAAATGTGGTGTGGGGGAGGACAGGGGCAGCTACTGTGGAGTCTTCCTGAAAATGAACCAAAGGGTTCTTGTTGTCCTCCTCTGTTCTTTAGAGATGGGGCCAAGACCCTCCTCCCCCTCCCCCCAACACCCACACCCACACCCACACACCCACACACACCCACACACACCCACACACACACAGAACAGCTTCACAGCAGGTGTCTCATCACTCAGCAGTGCCACAGATAGATACTACAGGTGAGAGTCTATACAGAATATGAAGAGCTGTCTAAAAGTGAGACATTTTATCATTATTCATACCCCGCTCTCTCAATAGCCGCTGGAAACCGGACCTTTTCTCTAGATCAGGCAGGTGTTCCCAAACCACAGCAACTGAAAGATCCTTTCAACTAGCCCTCTTTTACTCCTCTCTCCACACACACCCACAGCCTCCTCCACCTCTTACTTAGGTAAATAGAAAGGGGCTTTACTTCCTGTTTAGCCCAGATTCTCACACTGGCAAGGCTGCCTTCAGAGGACTGTCAGCCACAATCCTCTCACAACCTCAAAGCTATAGAGTGCTCATTCTATACCTCTTCAAAGAGCTCTTTATTTCCCACAGGGTAACTAGGCCAGCGTGAATTTAGGGTCGTCCTTAATGTCATACAGAGATTTAGTGAAAGGTTGGCATGAAGCTGTCCAGGCTTTGGATAGGGAGGACTGGAATTTGGCCTTGGAATTATTCTCCAGAATTGAAGAGCCTTCTTCCAAGATCTGCTTCAACATGAGCTGTGTGCACCTGCTAACTGGAAATCCAGAAGCAGCCCTGCAGGTGAGTGGGCAAAGGAATGGGAGGGGTACGAGTGAGGCCTAGGATTATACCCCAAACCTTATAGCTCGGACACACAAAGCCTGGAATCAGGAAGGATTAGTCAGCACCCCAACCTCCTGAGCATCCTATAACTTCCAGGAAAGACGGGGTCATGGGAATGTGAAAGGAGAGAAAACAGACAACCTTAATGAGAGGAGGCCATTCATTCAAAGTACACCCCCACAAGGGACACAAGTGTATTTCCCAACACAGAATTGACTGCTCCCAGTTCCCCCATCCACTAAGGGTACAGCTCGGGGTAAAGAGAGTCAGATCTGAACTAAAATGCAATGACTTACATGGAAATGTGTTTTGCATGACTACACATATGTAACCTGTGTCAAATTGCTTGCTCTCAATGGTGGGGGAGGGGAAGGGAGGGAGAGAATTTGGAACTCAAAATGTTTAAAAAGGACGTTAAAATTGTTTGTACATGTTATTGGGGAAAAGTTACATTTTAAATTAAAAAAAAGAAAATGAAGTTCTCACCAAAAAAATAACTAAAATGCAATTAGATGAAATATTTATTAAGGTTGAACCTACTAGCACCTCAGGTTTTTGTTTCCTTATGAGACAGGGATTGAGACATATGGATGAGGTCATTCTGGAAGACAAATGTGAAGCACAGTGCCTAGAAAATAGATACTTAATAAATGTTTGTTGAATGGATTTGAATTGGATGGACCAGCAAGCGGTTCTCCAATGTTTCCCACTAGTGCCATAAGGAGACCAGGCAAATCCACACAAAAATGTTTCAGCCATCTTATTGAGCTCCCATGGGTGGTGGGAATAACTTGAAAGATGGAATGGGTATGCAGGTGAGGGTGACAAGATAGGCTGAGAAGAGAGCATAATGCTTAAAACGTAACCCAATCATAAAAACTTCTAGATGCATTCTGACTCCTTTTCCATGCTGTGGGCAGATGTTTTAGTCATGTTGTCTTTTTAATACAACTCATTTCCTTGGCACACTACCCCCAGGACTGAGTCATGTTCTTCTGTTCTTCTATGGTGAAGGATTGTAGAAATAATTGTGACTGTTGGGTTTCTAGTTCCTATTCCATCACTTAATTGTGACCTCGGGCAATTCAGCTTCTTTGAAACTCAGTTGTTTTATCTGAATGATGGGGATAGTAATCCCTTACCTAATTAAATTTAATTTAATAATCATTTATTAATCAATCAAAATCAATCAAAAAACTCATTAAGGGTTTACTATAAATCACACACTGTGCTAAGCTTTGGAGACACAAAGGAATGCTTTAAAAAAATTCCTGCCCTCAAGAAACTTATATTTTAATGGGAGACTTCACA